AGGGGTCCCTGTGCCCTGAGGCTGGCCCGGGAGTCCCCTCCCCGGGGCTGCGGGGCGCGGGGCCGTCAGTCAACCCACAGGTGGGTGCGCAGAGGGGAGCAAGCCCAGCTCTGCGTCCCGGACCCCGTTTGGCCGCGCTCGCCTCCCCTTAGACGGGGTCTCCTCTCCGGGGCACCAGGGAAGCCAGAGTCACCAAGCCGAAGATGACTAGCTCGGGCCTCAGCGCAGTCTTTTCTCGAAAGGCTGCGCAGCCATCTCGGGGGTCGCCCTCCCAGCCCAGTGCTGTCCCCTGCACCAACCTGGAGCGGGCCTGGATCTGAGGACCCCGCCGCTCTCTCTTCTCAAAGGGGACAGTCTGCACCCGGGGAGGGGGCGTTCTGCAGGCATCAACCCAGGACATCCCACGACAACCTTGATCGCCTGCTGGGGTGATTCTCCCAGGTTGGCTCAGGTGAGGCCCTAGATTGGGCCTCTTGTCTGGTCACTGCCAGCTGGAAGCCCTGGGCTTTGGGCTGGATGCCCCGCCGCATTCTTCCCAGCCCTACCCTCCCAGCCCCTCTCCGGGGGGCCGTTGCCCACTCAGTCTCCAGCACAGTGGTTCTCGAACTTGAGCCACACCACAGTCACTTGGAGGGCCTGTGAAAAGATTGCTGGGCCTGACCCCACCTACTGGTTTCTGTGAAAGTCTACTGGGGCTGAGGATCTGCACTTCTAACAAGCTCCTGCTAGAAGCTTTGGGTCTTGGGACCACACAGGGAGAACTGGCCCTAAGCTTGGTCCTGGGGCTGCCCAGAGGGTCTCAGACTTGGGCCTCTGGATCCAAGCCCTGCCTTTGGCCAGATACCACTGGACCCTGGCAGCACCTTGGTGCTAGCGGCATCAGACTTTGATTTGAAGTTGTCACCCCAAATGTCCCATTCCAAATGGTAGGATTCCAGCCAGCGTGAGAGGCAGAAAAGGCAGGCTTGGAGCCCACTCCACTCTGGGGAGGCTGGGGGTCAGCTGAGCTAAGGGGAGAGCCAAGGCTGGAGTGGGCTCCAGGCCTGCCTGCGCCTTTCATTTCTGGGCACCCCTCCAGCTGCTGTCTCTTCACTGCATGCTGGAGAGTGGAGCCCAGGGAGAAAGCAGGTGGATGGGGTGGCCGCTGTTCCGATGGGTCGTCCACCTGTCTTGGCTCCTGGATCCCAACTCGCTCACATGCGTGCCCAGCCCCATACCAGGAGAGGAGACAGGACTGTAGGATGGGGGGAAGTAGGAGGGTGGGATGGGTCCTACTTCGGGACACTCAGGCCCTGGGCCTGCCCCCTCCTTACGCAGCACAGCCAGGTAAATGCTCGGAGGCCTGGGGGCTCAGGAAATACATCCACTGCTTGGGACAGAGATAGGGCAGGTGAGCAGGGGAGGGACCTGGAGCTGGTGCCCACCAACTGTTCCTCAGCGTCCCTCTGCAGGGGATGAGAGCTGGGACCAGGGTAGCTAATGTCCCTCCCAAGGGGTGGCAGGTCTTGGGCCAGGATCCTGGAGCTGATACCCTGTATCCCTGCAGTCTTGCGTTGGGTTCTGCCAACCTGTTGGAACAAACACAGCGTAGTTGCCATGGTGATCATATTGGCTTTAGGGTGAAGGAATGAGACTGGCTGCTGTAAACAGGAAATTAGGAGGGGCAGCTGCCCAGCTGGTGAAGGAGCCCTGCTCTGTGCAGCTTCCCACCACAGGGGCGCTGACCCCTAGGGCTAAAACTGCAGTCCATTGGGCTGGGGGGCCCTTGGAGACCCCTCGCCACTCTCTTTTACGGGTAGGGAAACTGAGGTCCAGAAATGACAAGGGGCATGTCTGGGCCACACAGCTACAGGCTGGGTCCCAAATGCAGCCTTGGGCCTCAGTTTCCCCAGGATAGGATAATTCCCAGGACTCTTCCCTCCACAGGTATTTAGTGAGGGGCTGGTGAATGAATGAGTGATCGATTTCTTCATTCTCCTGACTTGTTCTGAGACTGAAGTCAGGCAGGCACAGCTCCCCAGAAATCAAGCTCCTCCCCATCCTGCCTCCAGCTCCCCTAAGGACAAGGGCAGGGAAAGGCTAGGAGACCAGGAGAACTAGACAGAGACCCTGCCTGGCCTGGGGCTGGAGGACCCCATCCCCCTTCCTGTCTTGGGGTAGACCGGTTGGCGGAACAGAGGTGGCTTTAGGGGTTGGGGTCTGGCCTACGACTGGCCTCTTGGCCGAGTCGCTGGTTCCTGCACCGCTCAGGTGGAGCTGGCTGGAGGTGACTAGACTGTGGCAGGCCTCAGTGCCACCGTGGGTCTGAGATCTGTGAGGGGCAGAGAGATGGGCCCAGGATGAGGCCCTGCAAAGTCACAAAACAAAGGTCACTGGGGGGACAGAGCCCAGCTGGCAGGACAGCCCTGCCACTGTGAGGCCTGCATGCGAAGAGCTGGCCTGGGGGCAGGTGTGCCACAGGCCACTACCCAGCAAGGGCCCCCTCCTGCTCTCACCCCTCTGCAGGGGGCCAGGCGGGGGCAGAGATCAAGGGCCACACCAGGAGGCAGAGCTGAAGGCACCTTTGTCCCCGGCTCTGAAGGCTCCAGATTCCTTCCTCAAAGGCAAGACCCCCTTCAAGGGGTAAGACCCTGTCTCCTTCAGAAGAGGGCGTCCTGGAGGAAGGCCACAGATGGCTTTGCCTGGAAGGCAGAGGTCCAGGAGGGAAAGCCCACCCTGTGGTTTTCTTGTGCATTTATTTTTCCCTAAGAGCTCAGATAAAAAGACCTGACAAATGCAGGTATCTCTGGGCCAGCTGGGAGACAGGCAGGGGAAATGGCACCAGTCGCTCCAGCCCCTTCCCACCCAATTGTCAAGGGTCCCCCCACCAGACAGGCAGCCTCCAGCTCCAGATGCATCTCCTGAGCCCATACTGCAGGGTGCCCCCAGACTCACGCAGTGTCAGGGTCGGCTGGGGACAGACCCAAAACCCAGTACTCCTGGGGCCCTCCTGGCAGGAGCTGGCTCAGACCAGTTCAAGCCAGTGCTCGGCCCTCTAACCTGGCAGTTTGTCACCATGGTAACCTCAAGCTAGCACTGATTATGGGGCCCATGCAGCTTTAGGGCTGCCCACTGCAGGTGGACAGGCCGAGGATGCGGCCAGGGTCTGGGCTGGAAGTCCAGGAAGGTGAGGGAGAGGTTAGGGGACCAACAGCCTGGCCAGGAGCTGGCCAAGGGCTCTGAGCACACGGTAGCCCTAGGTGGGGTCAGGTGTCTGAGCCTCCCTTGTCCCAGCTGGCCCCAAGTACAGGGAACAAGGGGTATGTGGGGGGTGGCTGGTGGACGAGTGTAGTCAGCACAAGCCACCTGGCCACTGGTCCTGCCTGGGGCGGGTTCCCTGTCTGCACCTGCATAATGGCCTGTAGGCAGCTGGAAGCTCCAGCCAGCCAGGCACTGGCCAATTGGCCACACTGTGGTCCCAAGAGCTCTGCCAGGGTCTCAACTGAGCACTTGCCTGTGAGGACAGCGTCCCTGCTGAGAGACTCTGCTACAGCAGTCAAGACCAGAGATGGGGCATCTGGCCTTGGCTCAAGGGGGACATCTGGCCACTGAGTATCCAATGCTGGATGCTGGAGGCCATGGGGGTGGCGGGGGGGGGGGCCCTCCCCTGGGTTGAGGCAGTACAGGACTAGGATGGAGCCTGGGGGTGGAGGGCAGCTTCTGGGGCCCTGGTGGGCTCCCCACTCACAGCCCAGGGAAGCCAGGGACAGGGCAAGAAAAGGACACACCCCACAGGCTGCGGTTTGTGGAAATGTTTTAATTAGAAGATTCGTAGATACAGTGGTTAATGTATCGCCCACAATCCCTTGTTATGAGGCGCCTTGTGCTGGGAACATTCTTGCTTCTCTTATATTAAACACAGGATGATCACATCACGTTTCATGGTTCTCATGTTACAAGATTCACATCATTGTTAAGCCAAGGACTGTGGTACAAAAGAAACATTTCATTAGCTGGAATCACTACAGTTTGCTAGAAACATCAATTACTTTAGAATACTTTAACTATAAAATATATTGAATTTCCGTATATATTAACCATATACATGTGTAACTAATACTAAATGTAGTTCAGTCATTACAAAATAAGACATTCTGGGAGCAGGCTACAAATATACAATCTGGCTGAATTCCCCAGGTAAGGTCCTCTGTTACAAACCAACTGCAAAATCAAGCGAGGAGCTCAGCGACCCACAAAACACAGCTTAGAAAGCAAACAAGGCACTCGCACCTGAGCCACTGGACACAGTGCTGGCTCTGGGCCTCCTGTAGCCCCCTAACCTCCACCGAGACTCTTGGCCTGTGGCGGTCGGACACACAACGATGGGGGCTGCCCTCCTGGGGTCTCGAGTTTCCCAGGGCGCCTCACGACCAGCCACTCCTCCTTCCTCTGGGGATCGCCCAACCCAGAACCAACCTGCCCCCTGCTGGTCTGTTTACTTGGGCACCGGTGGCCCCGTTCCAACAGTGAGGGTCCTCCAGAGTGGCAGGGCTGGCCCTGGGCCTCCGGTCTCAAGAACTGGGCCTGTCCTGTCTGCTGCTCCGTCTCCACCACCACTGTCCTGCTGGGCCTCAGAGAAAGGAGCATGTGTGGACAGTGGACTCACAGGGTGCTTGGTGCCGACACAACACCCAGGCCAGGAGCCCCTGGGGGTGTCCAGGGTCCTGTCCACTGCCACCCAGGGGCAGGGGCCGAGTGCAGGCTGGGAAGGCGCTGGAGGGGCCGTGGCTCAGGTGCCCGAGAGCAGCTGGAGGAAGCTTCAGTCCTTCACAGGGTGTGAGGCTGCCTCCTTGGGGATGCGAGGGAATGGTGTGCAGAGGCCCTGGGGCAGCCGCCTGCAGGGCACGTGGTACAGTCAGACAGGGAAGTCAGGCAGGGGCTGCTACATCCACAGGCAAGGCTCCATCGCTGTGGCCCGGCCACCGAGGAGGGTGCACCCAGGCCAGCCAGCTGCTTTGACAGTGGTCCTCGCTTGGCCTCAGCCCCGGTCTGGACTGAGCTGCTGCAAGAGTGCCCAAGGCAGTACATGCATCAACTCGTAACCTGCATGCTTTACAAGGGTCTGCTGCCAATTCCGACCTGACCAGATCCGAGTTCTGCCTAGTGCTCCACAGCCCAAAGACCTGGGCAGGGAGAACAAGGTCTCGACACGCCACTCCTGTGTGCAGTACTATGTAAAAAGAGCCAGGACAGCCAGCCACGTGGGCCTGGGCGCGTCCGGAAGCAGAGACCATGAGAAGAGCTCCTGGCGGCTGGTCCTGGTCCCAGACCGCGAAGCTGGTGCTCAGCGAGGTGGCTCTGAAGCTGGGAGCAGGAGGCTGGGCAGGCCCAAGCCGCCCCTCACTTTCAATGATGATAATGCAACAAAAACCTTTATATAAACAGTTTATTTACTCTAAACAGCAACACAGACAAAACGCCATATAAACACAAAGGAAGTGACGCAGAACCAGATGCCGGCTGACGTTGGATCTGAGGCTCATGAGCAACACAACCCAATGCTGGAGAGAGAGGAGGTGGGGGCGCAGTTGATTTCCTTTTCATACAGCCAGCCAGAGGCTAAGTGCGGCTCTAACGCGAAGCATGCCTGCATCCGAGAGCGGAGGAAACTAGCTCTTAGGGGCTTATTGAAGTATAAAAGTTTGTAATTTTACAGCAGTTGAAATACTGACATCAATATTAAAATAAAAGCAAGTTTTACATAACAATCAAAAATACAAAAGACTGAAGGAAGAGACCCTGTATGAAAAACGGGGCAATTCAGCAAATCGAGACCGTGTACCAGTGGCGGAAATGGACCATGGCGCCCGCCCCACCCTCCCCCGGAGACTAGTGACTGTACGGAGCAACTTTAGACTTGCAGAGAGGTTGTAAACAAGTTCTTGCCAAACCAATCCCTTCCTTTTCACGCTGCCGCAAGGGTGCTGCTTACGAGGGCGCAAACTTCTTGGCTTGTGCTCGAACCCTTTTCTCATATTCCACTCTGTTTTGGCTGAGGAGGTCAAAAGAGAAAAGCCACGCGTTAGAGAGTGAGCGGTGAGCCTGCTGCCCCGGAGCCGGCAGAAGTGTGAGCCTGGGGTGTGGGGAGCTGGCCCAGCAGAGTCCAGGCCTGCCCAAGGGCCAAGGCTGCACCTGGTGGGCTGGCGCGGGGGGGGGGGGGGGGGGGGGGGGGGGCGACCTTCCTTCTCAGCTTCCGTGGCCATCCCAACCTCCACAGAGCACCACAGGGAGGAAAGAGGCCCCACCAGATGGTGTGGGGACCCCAACGCTGTAGCCTGTGCCCAGTCCATAGCCTTAACCAGCCACCAACACCTTCCCCTTCCTTGTAAGTTTGAGACAGCACTAATAATTTTGAAAACATATACTGCTTGGCACTGTTCTCTGCTCCTAATTTCAAAAACAGACACAAACTTCTGGTTGGTTTTTACCACACATCCCTCAGCTCTGGGGACAGAGGCATGGGCGGTGGGCTGGAGCTGGGGCCAGCGGAGCTCAGGCGTGAGGCTCAGGCTGAGGACAGTGGGGCTGCCTGCGCTGCCAGGCCAGGTGGGACGGGCAGCCAATGCTGCATCTGGTGGACAGGCTGCTCCAAAGGAGCAGCTTGACCCTGAGGACCGTGGAGTGGGCTCCTGGGGGTGGCAGTCCTCAGGGGTCTCATGACACACTGGGGGCTGGTCTGAGACCCTGCACTGAGCCAGGCCTAGTGTGTGGCCTTCCTCAGCTATGCCACAGTGTGCGGGTGTGTGGAGGGGTGCCCTCTCCTCCACAGCCTGAGAAAGGCTGTAGTGGCACCAGGAGCAAGGGCAGAACCCAGCAACACGCACCCACTGAGCTCCGTGGTGGAGGCCGGCAGGCCCCAGACAACAGGCAGTGCTCCCACCCTGACTGAGGACCTGGACCCCACCCCTAATTGCAGTTCCATCCCGAAGGGCTGCGCCCAGGGTGGCCCCAGGGTAGAAGCAGCCAAGTCCCACCCCTGTGGCTCACCAATGGAGGCACCTGCCAGGGCAGGAGCAAGGCCCAAAGCCTGAGGCCTTCTGGAAAGGGGAGGAAAAAGGAATATGAAACCTGCTAACGCGCTTCTCAAAAGACTGCACATTTAAAGTGGATGTTTGCTGGAGAAAGAGTATCTTGTTCAAGTGGGAACAGGCGCACATGACCCAGCAGGCAGCAAGCCCAGGTGACGCAGCAGCGCAAGGCCACGTGCCCAGGAGCCCTGGCCTCAGCCATGGCTGGTGCAGAGTGGTGGTGCCATGGCCCGGCCCAGGGTAGGGAGTGGGGGACCAAACAGTTGGGGCTGTGGTCTGCCAGAGGAGACACAGCAGGCAGTAGGCAGGACAGCTGCTTGTGCCTCCCGGGTGTGACTCCTGATCCCGGCACACACTCTGGGAAAACTGATACAGTATCTGGCAAGAGGGGCTGCCCTTGCACGCCCGCGCTGGGTGAACGCATCACACTATTGCCAGCACACAGCAGACGGCCACACGTGGAGGTCAGGCTACGCCCAGTGGACTCGGTTCTAGTGACAGCTTGACTGACCATGCCAAGGTAAAGGGTTAGAGCTGGGTCAGGTTGGGGCTGGCTGCATGCCAGGCCCTATGACCAGTGCTGCTCCCCTCCCTGCCTGGGGATCTCTGTGCTGCCTCGGCCACCAGGGAGAAATGCGCCTCCTGCCACCTGCACACTGTGCAGGCCACTGCTCAGAGGGGCAGATCTGGCCTTTGGCCTGACCAGCTTCAATTTAGGAGATGCCCCCAGGGAAGGAAGAGCCCTCTGCTGCCAGGGCAGGTGGGTCAACCCCTGCCCAGCCTGGAGCCTCTGCTCAGGGCCAAGGGTCCTCCCTGCTGCCCATGGCACTGGGTTTCACCAGGCCCTCTTGCCTCAGCACAGATGGCAGATGCAGGACCATGGGGATCTCCTGGCCACAGCAGCACCTCATAGTGATGGACAGAAGCCCAGAGCCTATGTGAGGTGGTCACCGAGCAGCAGGGTGATGGGAAACCAGAGTGCACTCCTTCCTGACTAGGCCATGCCCACCAGAGGGCCATGCTGCTGGACCTGCCTCTCAGTGTGGCCCATCTCCTTCAGGCCCATGTCCAGGGCCCTCCCCTGAGCTGGCCTCATTTCACCAGGGACACAGCAGCCTATGAGGGCCCAGGTCACCTGACCTCCCACTGCCCCACCCAACAAAGCCCAGCCACACCAGCTCTGGTGACCCACCCCTGCCCTCCACAGGCCCCTCATGTACGCATATCATGCTGCTCAGGGTGCCTCCCTGACTATCTTACATGGGCTACCCCACCTTCCCCCTTGTGGCGTTGAGCCCAGCTGCCACCCCCATAGGCTGCACCTGTGTCTCATGGCTCCCCTCTGACAGTCAGCCTGTTGGGACTTCTAGGGAAGGGCGCTGCCACCGGCGGGGCCGGAGTTGCTACTAACCAGTAAATTGTGTAGGCCTCTGCTTGAGCTGGGTCTTGAATATTTGGTTCATTTAGAAGTTCCTGTATTCCTAATAAGATCTGCATGAAAGACAAGAACAGACACAATAAAACACAGGTGGGAGTCTGCGGTCTGAAAGGCAAACTTTTGCGAGATGCCAGCCTCAGCTACTGACGACAACCACAACCTGCGGGCTCCATACCTGTTTAATTGTGATGGCTGGCCTCCAGTCCTTGTCTTCCTCTAGGATGGACAGGCACACCGTCCCCGAAGGGTACACATTTGGGTGGAATAGCGGTGGTTCAAATTTACCTGGATGACGGGGAAGAGAGGAAACGCTTTTTGGAGGCAGCTGCTGTCCTATAGAGTAACGTCCCCCCCTCCCGGTGCTGGGACATCTTGTAGGTAGCCAGGCATCTGGCCAAGAACTTTTCAGAAAATAAAGCTGTGGCAATAGGAGACAGGGAAGGGAGCTCACAGCTCCTCATGCTGAGGGCAAAGCATGAAAGACTCATGGAAGCAGACGAGAGCACGTCTGTCCCCAGGACGCTGCCTAGGAAAGGTGGCAGAGCACAGGCCGCGGGTGGGGAGCTGGGACAGCTCCACCTATGCCCTCCGCCCCTCCAGGCCAGACCAGAAGAAATGCAGGAGAGCACCAAGGGCAGCAGTTCTGAAGGCCCGTCCAAAGGAGCAGGCGTTTCTGAGGTAGATCGTCCCACTTCCAAAAGAGCACAGGCTTTTAAGGACGCCATGTACTTCCTTCATAAAAGAGCAGAAAAATTTGCCATAATTAGCCCTACCCAGGGACCATTTTAGGATAGTTCTCATCTTTTTATCTGGGCACATCTCCCTTTCTATTTTTAAACATCATTACACCCAGAAAAGTGCAACAAGTCTAGTACAGCTTTGTGAACGATCAGAGATGGACAGATCTGTTGACACCAACCACTCTCCAAAGAGCTCCTCACCATTGCCCACCACGCCTGCCCCGCTGCTGGCTTCTGGAGGGCACACACCCTGGTGCTGTGCCTACAGCCTTCCTTGTTCTGCATGAGGCTGTGCGGGCCTTGGTGGGAGGGACTGCCTGCCTTTGCCCTGGGCTTCAGCCCCGCACTGCAGGAGCACATGTACACTGCCATGAACAAGGCTGCTGCATGGGAATCCTGGCACAGGCATGTTTCCACGTGAAAATGCAGGCTCACAAGGTCTGTGAGTTCCCACCACTTCACAGCATGGCCAGAACCAGGGGCGTTGTTCGTGGACTCCAGCAGTCCCGCTAGGTGGCTTCGCTCGTGGCTCTAGTGCGTATCTCCCTGGGACCATTGAGATGAACTTTTTTTTTTTTTTTTCCTTTTTGTCTTTTTTCGTGACCGGCAACGGATCGCAACCCTCAGTGTCGCGCCCATACCGGACCGGGACCGGCCACGGGATTGCAACCCTCGGCGTCGCTCCCGCCCCTCGCTCAGCCAGTGAGCAGCCGGTCTGTATGTGGGATCCGAACCCTCGGCGGGAGCGCCACCACGCTTCCCAAGCAGCGCACTATAGCAGTGCGCCACCGGGCCGGCCCAAGATGAGCTTTTCACTCATGGCCACGCACCAGCTCCTCCTTGGAGAAGCCCTCGCCCGTGTCTCTTGCCAGTTTTCTATCGTGTTCTCCCTTACTGACTTGTATCCACAATACCAGAGTTCCTTCAGTTGCGTTTTGAAGTATCTTCTCCTACTCTGGGCTTGCTCTTTTAATTGTATCTTTTGGGGAACACAAGTGCCTGACTTTATAATTTAATCTGATTTACCAATTGTTTCTTCTGGCAACAATGATACAAGGAAAGTGCAGGCTGTGAACACTGCACCCAAGCCCCTGCCCCAGCCGCCTCCTGGCTCCCCCCACCCTGGCTGCTGTACTACTGGTGAGTGTGGCCGGTGCCCTCCGCCCGCCTGCGTGCAAGGAGATCCTTCGTGCTCTGCACACATGTGGTCCCCTTGTTCGTGCTCTCTGGACGTTCTTCCCCATCCTGTCATCAGTGGACACCTGGGCTGTCCCCAGCTCTTGGATGTTACAGATGGTGATGTCACAAGCTTTCTTGTCTGTGCCTTTGGTGAACACATGCATGGGCCTCCACAGAATTTTCTTGGGGGGCGGCTGGCTGGTATGGGGATCTGGACCCTTGAACTTGGTGTTATGACACCAAGCTGTAACCAACAAAGCTCACGGGCTGGCCCTCCATGGGGTATCCACTGAAGTGGAGCTGCCAGGCCCCACAGCAGATTAAGTTTAGCTTTAGTAGACACGTATCTTTCCAAAGGGAAGTGTCTAGGATCTACACTCTGTCCAGTGAGAGTGAGAGTGCCGTCTGCCTTTCTGTGCAGTATGGTTGTGTCCTGCCAGGGTATGACATCCGCTCCCTGGTGGCTGACGTCCTTTTCTGTGCTCCCCAGCCTGGCAGACAGCCTCTTTTATGAAGAGCCTGCCTATAATATGGTTGTCTGCCTTCTTCGTACTGATCTGCAGCTCTGGGTGTACTCAGGATAAGGGATGAGATACACACACATTTCTCTACCCTGTGGCTGCCTCTTCACTCTCACTGGTGCTGTGTGATGAACAGATGTTCTGAGTTTCAATGTAGTCCAACTGGTCAATCTCCGCCACGGTTAGCACTTTCTGTGCTTCGCTGGTTAGGAAATCTGTGCCTATGACGAGCTCATGAAGATATCTTCCTGTGTCTTCCTCTAGAAGCTGTATTGTCCCCTCTCCACCAGGTACTACAGTCCACCTGAAAGGCTTCTATGGTTGGAAGGAGAACTGAATTCCCTCTTCTTCCACTGGGACATCTGTTGGGCCAGCCCTAGCACAAACTGAGATGCTGTGCAAATGCGGCCTTTTTGTACCCCTCACTATGCTCTGTGGGCATGCTGGCCTTTCTCCCTACCACCATGTGGTGTCCCTGTCGTTGTGTCTGGGGGCAGATCTTGGTGTGCAAGGGCTGCGCCTTGCCCATCCTGCTCTCTCCCCAGAACCTCAGCCTGGGCCTCACAATCCCAACCCCTGAGAACTCCACTCTGACTGGGACCACAGGGAATCTGCAGATCAGCTTGGAGGGAATGATGTCTGCACGACATAGCATCTTCTAGTCCACCATGGAACACAGATTGTGCTGCTTAGGCTGTCCTCAGTCTCTCTCAGAAACGTTCAGTGCAGAGGTCTTGAACTGACCTGCTGTGTTTACTCCAAGGTATCTGATGATATTGTAAATGGCATAGTTTTTTTTTTTTTTAAAAAAAAAAGATGACTGGTAAGGGGATCTTAACCCTTGACTTGGTGTTGTCAGCACCACACTCTCCCAAATGAACTAACCGGCCATCCCTATATAGGGACCTGAACCCGTGGCCTTAGTGTTATCAGCACCACACTCTCCCAAGTGAGCCATGGGCCGGCCCTTAAATGGCATAGTTCTAAAGCTTTCATTTGTTGCAATTACTTGCAAGTAGATTTGCACGTTAACCTCTCATGAGGCAACTTCAATGACATTGGCACAGGCTTGGTCTTCCTTCCCAATTCTTTCCTGCCTCACCGCACCTGCTTGGAATTCCAGCATGTTGAACAGAAGTGACGAAAGCAGGTGCCTTGGATTGAATGTCCACCCAAAACTCAGTCGCCCCGTAACTGTTGAGGGTGGGAAGTCTTACTATGGTAGCTGAAAGCGGGGGCCTTGAAGAGGTGATTGGATTGTCAGGACCCTGCCCTAGTGAATGAATTAATAATGGTAGTTGTGGGTGTGGTTTTGAAGGCTTTAAGAGGAGAGCATGTGACGAACTTTCTCTCTGCTCTGCCATTCTACCATGTGAGACCCTGTGTGACTGTCACCACCACTACTGCCTTCAGATATGTTCCCTAGAGTTTGGACTTCCCAGCCTCCAAAACTTTAAGCAATAAATTTTGTTTTCTTACAAATTATCCAGTTAGAGGCATTTCGTTACAAGCAACAAACGGAACAACACAGCAAGTGTGTTTGTCTCATTCTTAGATTCTTGTCTTAATAAAAAGAAATCATTTTAACTAATGCACATGGCAAAGAAATCCAAATAGCAAAGGACAGTCCAGAATGGAACAGCTCTCTGGCTAGTGATTCTATGTTCTCTGGCCCATGACGAGACACACACTTCCACGTCTCGACTTACCAACTGCGAGCGCGAAGAGTCATACACAGCCCCCCCTCACCACCTGCTGGTGCTCGTCCAAGCACTGGGTGCGTGTTCACTCAATTAGTTAACCACAGACAGTGCCTGTTGATTTCCAGATATAAGAGTTAAACCCCGCCCCCAAGTTTTGCTGAATCGCATTAGGATCTCACTATTTCACACACGGCGGCAGCCCATCTTCTACCGCCTTCTCTGCAGGTTTAAGCTCTCTGTCCATCCAAGTGGCAGAGGCAGCCATCAGCTGGGTGTGAAATCACGACAAACAGCGGGTAGGGTGGTACCAGGCTATGTGTGGGTAAGGCTCTGGACGGTGGTCCTTCTGCATGGTGTCCCTGGGTAGGGCTGGGGTGCTGTGTGTACCAAGTACAGGCAGCCGCAGCCTGGATCTCACCATCGTTCCCCCTGCAGGGCCCCGGAGCTTCCTGGCTCACAAGCTGGGATCAGAGGCTAAGTCTATCAGGTACACCCCCACCCTCAGGGCTAGCAGCAGACTCAAGTCTACAGGCGGGGAGCGGATCAAAGATCAAAGCCTGGACTCTGCCAGACGCTCTCCCCTTTGCCAGCACCACTTGCACCAACAGGGTTGACATAACCAGTGAGCCAGGAGGCCCGCGATGCTTTGAAGACGATTCCTGATCTCCCGCAGGAACGCAACGAACAGGCCAACTTCCTAGGACTTCACGCTACTTACACTTCGGTGGTGAGGATGGATAATCATCTTTGAAAAGCATCCGCAGTTTAAACAAGCCTCCTTCCCATGGAGTCTGGGGGGGGGGAGGGAAACAAGCTGCAGTTAAGTGCACTACGTGCCCGCTGCAGGCTGGCCTGCAGGGGGCCAGCCTCTCCTGCGCTGCACCCAAGGTGCTGGCAGAGGCCGGAGCTGGGCTTCAGAGAACGAGTGAGGGTATGCAGTTCGTGGGCTGCTGCGCGGACGCCAACGAGCTCAGGCATACCACACCCGCCCACCAGCTCGTGCTCCCCAGTGCCTGGGGACATTCTTCCCTCCCTCAGATCCTGCCTGTACAAGGCGTCTGTGCAGCCCCATGATCCCACACCTCTTCCCAACTCCCCCTGGAGAGGGAGACTGCCATAGTGCCTCTGCCTCACCCTAACGTGCGGGGCAGAGAATGTTCTCAGCAAAGGCTGGGGATCCACCCTGGGCCCCTCCACGGAGCCTCAAACAAACCATGAACCCACCAAACCATGTCATCTCCCAGGCAAAGCCAAGTCCTGCTGAAGACCGCTTAACTCAGGGGAGAGGGGACTATTAGCAAGCACCAGCCTGGGCTCATCTGATCTTCAGAACAAAGCTGCACAGGTGGAAGGAAAGAGTGTCTAGCCAGCGTGCCAGGAACTTCCTCCCCATGAGTGGTCCCGCCCCCAACTCGATCCTCAAGACTCTCTGCACTCCCAACGACACATCAGGGTCCCACTCCTCCCACCAGCCAGCCTGCTTCTTCTCAGCTAACAGCCCTCTGCAGGTCACAGTGTCACCCCCACCTTGCCAGCTCCCCCTCCTGATCTCATGTTCCCACTAGGGGACCTAACTTGCTGTGATTATAACCCAGGACAACTGTGATCGTCACAGCTGCCACCGACACTGGAATCTGAGCTTTCTGCTGAAGTTCTGCCCCCACAATCTGCTGTTACAAGCAGGAGGTGAGCGTAGCCCGAGTGGCGGCTCTTACCCCTTTCTTTCCTGGAATGGCACACTCCCAGTTCATGAGGTTCATCGTGCCATCGGGATTTTTTGTCGGGACAGCCACAAAACCCTGAGAGAAAACAGCACAAGAGCACATCAGTGCCGTGGCAGCTCACGTTACTGCTCGCAGAGAACGAGCCTGTGATTCTGCCAGCCCACTGGCGCACAGGCACGCGACAGGATGCCTGCTCAGCAGGGAGTTTACAGTTCCAACCACAGGGAAAGCGCCCACTCTGCCGCACACAGAAACAACGCTCTCCTTACAAATGGGTGGTCTTTTCTCCAAGCTTTCCTCTCCTGGGCGAGTCTGCTGAGGGCGATCCCCGACATATTCAAAGTCCCTGGAACAGAGAGGAGGCAGAGCACGGGATTAGGAAAGGAAACCCTGGGTTCCTCCTGCCCCCACGCTCACACATGGTTTGGAGAGAGGCTTGTCCCCAAGAAGCAGGTGGACTATGGCCTCAACCAGCAGAGGCTGTGCACTGAGCACGCTGCCCTCCAGGTCTGGACTCAATGATACCCCACGGGAACAGCCTCCCAGAACTTTCCAGGTGAGCAGGTGGGACGCCCCTTTCCCCACCCCTCCTGGGGCCTCTGTTCCATAGTGAGGAGACAGGGGCTCAGAGAGGCCAGGTCACAGCTGCTGGATGGTGGGGAAGAGTGGGATCGCCTCCAACAAACACTGAGCACACCCTTCCCAACCTCTCTGGCCACATGCTGCAGTGGGTTGGGGCAATGGGGTCCCACTCTCATTGTCAGACCCTGTAAGAAAGGCAGGGACAAGGTATGGACATCTGGAGTGCTGGTATGAGACCGGCAAGGGGCAGGGAGATGCAGGGAGGTTGCCGGGTCCCCAGCTTAGAATTGGGGGCTCGGGATTTAGGTTCAGGCCTAACCAGGAGGACAACTGTCACTGGTGAAGGCCACAGAGTAAAAAGGCAGCATGGGGCAGAGAACCATCAGCCCCATGTGAGTAAGAGGCCTTCGCAGGCTGACCCTCCCTGCGTCCCTCTAGCTGCCCGCCATGTATCCACAGGTCCGCCCTGTGACTTCATGGGACAGCCGGGCCACAGGGCAGGGCTGCTCAAACTCCTGGTCAGAGTCAGCAGTGGGTGTCAGGTTCCAGTTTGGCACATTCGGACGAGACCCCCAAGGCTCGGCACCTCCGGCCTTCCGTGTCCCCAGCAGGAGCCTATTGGTGGGCACCATGTCACTGCAGGTGAAGGAGCACCTCCAGGGAGATGTCACCAGCACTGGGGACTACTGGGCAGGCAGGAGCCGGCAGCCTCGCCCCTACCTCAGGCATGACCACAGACTGCTGTCACCCACTTCTTTAACCCATAAGCAGCAGTGCTTAGAAATTGCAAAATTCACTGGAGCACTAGAACCTGAGCATGTGCCGGTCATCAAATCCACAGAAACAGAAGAAACCCCCAAATCCAGTATTCAGATATCAAATGAGGCTTGAACGAGACGAAGTGGTTGTTTCTTTGAAATATGTGGGCTGCAGCTTTCCCAGCCCTTCAGGTGCCCGGTGAGGGTCCCAGGCAACAGGCTTCCCTGCTTCTCAGGGGGAAAAGGTCTGACAGCCAAATACAACCTCAGGCCCTTCAGCAACCAACATGTAGGGATCCTTCACTGGGTTTGGAGGCGCTACAGCAAGGCCAGCACGAGGGAAGCCACTCCCCAGCTCCCCGACCCCTCTCCTGAGCAGCACAACCCCCAGCTGTTTCCCCAACCCAACACACACTGCTGTAGCTGCCTGCCCGGCCTGTACTTCCCTCTGGGAACTACTCCTGTGCCTCTACTTTGGCCGGGATGTCCACCTCAAATCATACCCTCTGCTGCCCAGAAACCTCCCACAGTGTTTCACACGAGGTGTTCAAACACCAGCTAAACCAGGTGCCACTCCACCTTGCTACCCTGTAGTGCAGTGCCCAATGGCCACATCAGCTGGTGTTTGTTAGAAATGCAAATTCTCCATCTCTCACGAACCCACAGAGTCAGGAACTCTGGATGCGGCCCACACTCAGGTTTAGGTGGCTCTCAGGTGACTTTTCCCAAGAGGTGGGCAGAGTGGAAGGGGGGGTTGGGGCTGCCATCACAGGAAGCAGCAGGCAGTCTCCAGTGCCCCCTGCCAGCCCTGGGTCCAGGAAGCTGCGTGAGCTACACCACTATGGTCATCTCCAATAAATGTGTGTACTCACGTCTCACAAGAAAAAGAGGAGGTAAGAGAATCAAAGCCCTCAAGTCAAGAACTGCTAATTGTGGGGCTGGACTCAGGCAGGGGTGCCCATGTGGGCTGCTGGCCTCTGTGCCAGTGCTCTGACCCCACCCTGCACGTTTGAAAGGTTCCTACCTCACCCGACTTCAAGATTCCATCCAAAGTAGAAAAGAGATCACATCAGTCTTGGCCCCAAACCAGAATCTTCCTTGACCACCCCATGCTGCAAAGCTGGGCATGCCTCCTCCCTCCTTCACGCATGACCATTCGGGGTCACCAAGGCTCTGCTTCCCCAGGTCAGCACCCCTCCCTCTGGAACATCCAGTCCTTCACAAGACACAGAACTACCTGCTGGCACTCTTCTAAGCAGTGTGAAAATGGAGGAAGGCATACCTTGTGGCCCTCTGCCACATCTCATGGCAGGACAAGGCGGGGGGGGCACCACCGTTTAAGAAATGGGTGGGGGCTGACCAAGGTGACCACTCAGCAAAGTCATGGCACAGAGCTGCCAGCCTGGTCCAGGCACAGAAGGGTCCAAGGGCCCGAGGCAGGAGGAGCAGGAAGGGTGGGGGCAGACCTGAAGGCTTGCGTGGAGACCTGCGCTGAGCAGAGCATGGGACAAGTCATGTTTTAAGGTTCTCTCTGGGCTGGGCAGCTAGTGTACAGCCTGATGTCTGAAAACCCTTCACTTCAGCTGGTTCTTCTGTATGACTGGGCCCAACTCCACCCACAGGCCCTGAAACCCCCTGCCCCCAGGCTCGAGGGTACAGCACACTCCAGCTTCCAAATCATTCCTGCCCACTAGCTCTCCCAACCTGAGGGGATCTCCCGAGGGCAGCTGCACGCGGACAGCATGGGCTGGCAGGATACATCTGCTGAACTCACGGATACCAATGAGCAGCCTCGTAAGCCGCAGTTTAAGTGAGGTGTAAGCTCCCCAGCGAGACTGAACAGGGCCAGACACCAGAACAGGTCTCTGAAAGCCCCAGGCCAGTGCTCTGGACACCAAGGAGCCAACCGACAGAGTTCTCCGAGGGGCTGGGGCTGGGCCTGGTAAGGATGCGGGAGAGGCCAGCAGAGGAATCCCGGGTGCTGAGACTCTGCCACAGGCTTCTCCCTCTGCCCTGAGGCCCAAATGAAGCCGCATAGTGGTCCCTGTCCCAGCACCTGGCTGTCGTGGTCGCAGGTGTGAAAGGCAGTGAAGGCTACTCCTGCAGTCTCCTGCTCCTCTTCCCTGGGCCTGCAACTTCTTAGATGTCCTGTGATCTAAAGCACCCAGCTACCAGAGGGTAGTTCCAAAGACGACTACAGCACCATCAGGGCAAAGAGCCACAGGTGCACACCAGCACTGTGTCAGGCAGAGCCTGGTTGGGAATGGCGCTCCCATTCTCCTGGCGTCCAGGAGAGAGAGTGCAGCCAACCCGCTATAATTTAACCACTCACTCAAAATACCACTTAAAATCGAATCTGCCTTCCCCCATTAACAGAGACACTTAATGAGCAATTAGGTATTTCTAGGAGCTTCAGAACAGCCTTTTTGATGTAAAGACAAAAACAGCCCTGAACTATTGGAGAGGAGCAAGGCACAAACGTCCTGCAGGAGCCTGGTGAGGTACTCCGGGCGCAGCCGGGAGGTCCGCCCTCCGCCTGCCTCCAAGGCTCCTGCAGCAGCCCGTACTTTAGTTTAAAGTACTCTCTTCTCAGATCTCAGGCTGCTGGTTGACAGCACATACTTGACAACTACTTACTGGCTGCGAGAGTGTGGGCAACGTGCTTATCTCCCTCAACTTCGACTTCCTCATCTGTAAAATGGGCGGTAGCACGACGCCCTCGCAGGTTGGAATGAGAAGACCCTGCTGCCCCTTCTCCACCCGGTGCAAACTCCCCCAGGCTTGGGACGGCATCCACTTCTGCATCGGGGGCCGCTCACGCCTGGCTGCACCTGGTCTCTGTCCCAGGACCCAGGCTGTTTCTAAAGCAAGGTCCCAGACCTCGGGGCCCACCAGACAAAGGCACGACAGCACCCGCTCCGCAGGCCCAGGGAGGGGACCCCTTCGCAAGCAAATCAGGACACACCGAGGGCCCACCTCTGCTTCCTATTGGACGGGCTCTCCACCCGGAGGCCACACGTCCCTGAGAGGAAGAACGCCCGGGGAAGAGACGAGAAAGAACCAGCGGAACCCCGAAGACGGGCGCGGCCGCTCCGAGCTGCGGAACCAGCACGGGTCCGAGCCGCGCGCCAGGCCGGCTGGCGGGGCTGCACCAGAGCGCCGCCACCGCCATCCACCGCCCCCGGGCCGGCGTGCCCCTCGTGGCGACAACACCCGCGGATGCGCGGTGG